ACTGTACAAAAATATGCCTGAAAATATCTTACTTTTCTTCCTTCCCCTCCATGTCACACCATGGCCACCTGCTGTGCCATGAAGAAACACAACCACTTGACCGCGTTATATGATTATGGGTTTGTCACAGTGACACCTGGCTCAGTCCTGGACCAGCATCCCCTGACTCCTCAGAACAAGATGTCAGTTTGCCTTCAGCCTCAGCTGTGTTATGACCATCTAATGTGCACAAGCCCAGCCCACAACCAAGATATTGGTGTTTTTGCTGTTGCGTGATTTAAAACCTCCAGCTCAGAGAAACAGAATGTAGAAATGTACACAAACCGTAATAAAACATATACCAACGTGAGATTACATAAAGAAGGTGTGATCTTAGAAATCTATATGCATTAGAAACAGACTGGCTCCACCTTAACTGAAATAACGGAGTGCTCTAAAATAAAATCTGTTATTTAAATGTGAATGTAAAACCCGTGGAATGTGGCACTTGCACTTCTGTTAAAGGATGACACGTTCACAGATCAGCCTGCAGCTTGAAACACCTTCTTGCTCCGCTGTTTAGCTCAAGCGCTCTGCGTCCAAGGCTCCTTTGGAAAAGAAATTGTAAACCTCAGTGGTCTTCACCTTCCGTTTTCACACTGTTGTGCAGGGTTTAGGATTCCGGCCGACTGGATTAGCCTAGGGCAGGTCTAATTCAGCTGTAATTGTGCCCAGGGTGAAAACTTATTTTATCTTAGTCATTGTGAGTTTGAAACAGGCTGTGGGTCTGTGAACTACTTGCGATCAGTTTAATAATTTTTTCCACAATTAAAACCTCGTAAGACACTTTTGGCATCTGCTACGCGCTGAGTTTTATATAAATCAGTGTGGGTTTTAGGCCACTGTATTTCTTTACAGCGTTGAATGGTGGGGTCCCAGAGGTTATCTTGATGGCCAGTGTACAGTTTATCTGTTTCCTCTGTCTCGGTAACAGTCTTACTGATGCAGATACGCCCTTTTCTTATCACTGTTGCAAATCCATTCAATGCTGCTTATCCAGCCCACCATCCACCCAAACGCACGCCTCTGGGAGGGGAGCAGCGTTGCTTTATAAGATGCATCTGATGCCCCTGAGCAAACGAGCTAGTGACCCGCACAGGAAAATCTAGAGCCGGCAAAATGGTTCAATGGACAGACTTCGAGCGCACCACCATCCAGAGCATCTTCTCCAACATTAACCATGATGTGGTGGGCCCTGCTGCTCTCACCAGGTAACAATAGATTCTCCTCCAGTTACTGTTAATGCGCAAATGTTCGTTCTCTTGAAACATGTTTAGTCTCCTAATTTAACCCTCTAACACATTTTCTTAGATGCTTGGTTGTCTACCCCTGGACACAGAGATACTTCGCCAAGTTCGGAAACCTGTACAACGCCGAGGCAATCTCAACAAACCCGCATGTTGCTGCTCACGGAAAAACAGTCCTCGGCGGTCTGGAACTGGCTGTGAAGAACATGGACAACATCAAGGCCACACTTGCGGAGCTGAGCGTGCTGCACTCCGAGAAACTCAACGTGGATCCGGACAATTTCAAGGTATAAGTTTAAGAGACTAAGGAGTAGCCATGGTTGTTCACATTCAAGGATTAATTGAAAGACGCCTCACCCTTCGTGTTGTTGATGGTTTCTGCT